AAAAGTTATATAACAATAGAAGACCATGGTGGCCGATATCACAAGACAACATATGACTCATTGCCAAATGAATAGTTTTGGGCAATTAGGAGCTTTGATTTCAATGGGAAGAGAGACCACTGAGGCTAGTGAAGTCTGAAAGTTTCTTTGAGGAATAATAATAATATGAATGAATGAATAAAATGAATGACTAACAATTATATAGTGCTTGAAGGTTTGCAAAGTGCTTAATATGTTAGCTCACTTGACCCCCATGAAGAGGAGAAAACAGGCCTCAGGAGAAGGTAGGATTTGGACAGGTGGAGAAGAGTAGGGAGGCCGGCCCAGTTAGGAAAAATGATAGAGGCACAGAGACAGGGAATAAACAGATCACTTTGTCTGGAGCTAAAGGTTCTTTTTTTTTTTTTTTGGCAAAGCAATTGGGGTCAAGCGACTTGCCCAGGGTCACACAGCTAGTAAGTATCAAGTATCCAAGGTCGTATTTGAACTCAGGTCCTCCTGACTCCAGGGCCAGTGCTCTATCCATTGTACTACCTAACTGCCCCTGAATGTTCTTTCAATGGAGTATAAAGGGAGACAGCTGGAAAAGTTTCCTTCACTCATCTCAGGCGCCATTTCTTCTGTGGACCATGCTGAGTTTTACCAGTTGACCGTGCTCTCTGTCTCCTTCTTCAAACATTCTTACAGCACTTTGTTTGGACTCTCTTTTGTCCTCATCCTTTCTTCCTTTTAATCATACTTACATATACCTTGGCCATGTTCTTTTTGCCAGCTCTTTACTTCTTTACCACCACCACCCAAAAGAACAAGGATTCTTTGAGGAAAAGAATGTTTCATTTTTGCCTTTGGATCACACAACAACTACCACAATGTTTTGCACACAGTAGGTAACTTAATAAATGTTTTCAAACCAAATTAAAGGAACATTGGGATAAGATTAGGGAAGGCCATGAATTTCAGCCATTCGAGCCACTCAAGGTTTTTTGAGGGTGTATGTGACATGATCAGAACCGTGTTTTAGGAAGATTAACGTGGCAGCTATGAACAAAACAATTTATAGGGGTGGAGAATAGAGGTAGAAAGGCCAGATTAGAGGCCACTACAATCATTTGGGTTTGAGATAGTGGGAGTCTGACCTAAACCAACAGTAGTAGGAACGAAAAGAAAAGTATAGATATGAGAAACATGGGGATGAATCCAAATTCATTCATTCAAAGGGCCATACGTGAGGACCTGAAGGGTCACATGTGGCTTCAAGGTCACAGGTTTCCTACCCTTGGCAGAAGAATCTCTCCCAGTTCACTCAAATAGTAGGGTTTTTACTAAACTAATAATTTATGAAACATTCATACTTTTTAAAGGGCTTTCATGTGCACTCCTTTTCATCTTACTAATAAACACCTTGAGGTAGGTACGGGAGTTGTTATTATCTCTGTTTCACAGAGAGAGAAAGAAAGGCTGAGAGTATTTAATTAATTTGTTCAAGGACTCTTTCTAGCTGACTTTGCAGACCTGGAACCAAATATCACTTTTCCTTTGTGTTGAATACCTACTGTACAGGATTGTAACTGGAGAAGGAAATGAGGCCTCCAAAGGCCAGAGAGAATGAGAAGAACACCTGGGTCCCAGCATCCAACCAGGTGGCTGGATTAGCCAGTTCTGCGACCTGTTGAGTCAAATAAAAAAGAATTAATACTGTCCTAGGTTCCCAAAGTGGGCAATACCACCCCCTGGGAGCACTGATGGTGGGGGCAGTAGTAACCTTAGGTGCAATTGGGGTGGCATTGAATGAAAATAAGGGGGTAGTAAAAGCATAAGGAAAGAAGAGAAGAGAAGAAAATTTTGAAAAACCATTCATACATGTTTCATCTATTGCGCAACAGAGTCAGTTGTGGTGATTACATTATTTTCCAAATAAACACATAAAATACAAGTTATAACCAATCAGTGGTCAAGTCCACTGACAGGTGTTAGCAAGCAAGTGTTGGCAGGCCAGCATGCTGTACATTGTCAGAAAGTCCAGCATGTATCAGCAGGAATATGTGCGTGTAATTACTTGTTTACAATATGATACTATATGGTTACATGACACAATATTGCATCATCAAAATTTCAGTGCAGGGAAAACCCCACAAATTTACAATAAATTACTTAATTTAAGATGCATTTTTTAAAATATTTTTGAAATGACACAATTAAAAAAAAACCATTAAAGGGCTAAAGAAAATAGATTTCCACGGGGGCATTGAGTAATTTTTTAATTTTTTAAAAGGGGGTGGTAGACCAAATAAGTTTGGGAACCTCTTCTGTAGCTCAATAACTTAAGGTTACCATCTTCCATCTCTCCCTTTTCTGCCTCATGGGGAAGTACAGTCTTTCAATAACACAAGAGAAACCAAGAGTCAGGGGATGTTAATGAATTTCATGGAATTTAAACTTATTGGTTCTTTCCCAAGTGTCGGGGTCCAATTTGCTTTTATTGATAATGTTTGCTTAGCAAATAAGCAAGCCATACATGTGGTTGGGAGGGAGTAGGAAACACAAAGGTCATAGTGAATACAGTCAGTACCACTGACGTAGAATGCTGAATGTTTTGATAAACCCGAAGATATTCTGTAAAATTCTTGAAAAGTCCCAGAACATCTGTGTAGAAGCTAACTCTTCTGCACTAGCAATAGCTTTTGTTTCACTACCCAGAGAGTAAAAGTTAAGCTCTCATCTAACTTTGCAAAGTTTCCTCTTTCAATGAAGAGGACAAAGTGCTATTAAAAATGTGAATGGAGAAAAAAATTTAGTGACTCTTGGGAAGTTTTTATAAAGTTTAAAAGGGATATCTTATAAATTAGATGGATGATCTAATCACTGCCTTTCGGAGATGAGTCATATTTATCATATTATATTATACATTATATAATATTGTACATTATAACAACATATTATGACATAGCATATTACAACCCATTATGACATATTATATTAGTTATATTATAAATAATATGTTATGAGGGTAAATAGCAGCTGGGCCCCCGGTTAGAACATATCCCATTTGCCCTCATCAGATCTTTTTTTTTTTTCCCAGTGAAAGGAACATCTTTTTTCATTGAAATCATAGATCTTTTGAAAGTACTGCATAATAACAGTCACCCTTATAAAACACCTTGGAGGATTAAGAGTGCAATTACGATTACATGCCTTCTTGTTTGGCTTTCAAAACAACCCAGAGTTGGGTGGTAAGTATTTGGGCCTCCATTTTCTTTAAATATGAGGAAAATGAGGGTCAGAAAGACTTGCCTCAGGTTGTAACAAGTAGTTGACTCAGAACTTGAATTCTCGTCTTCCCTATATCATGATGCAACCATGCTTAAAGATTGTGTGTTTAAAATTCCTTTCCATTACCAAAGTCTAGCTAAGGTATATTATAAGCAAGTTGATCTTAAAAACCCAGCATACCATCTCACAATCCACTGCAAATACCCCAGGATTACCATCAGGAGGTGGTAGTTTGATCAAAATTCTTAAATCCTCAAAAAAGAAATAAACAGAAGCCCCAAATGGTCCATTTGGACCATAATGTCCATTAGGACGTTAGACCATCCCTAGGTGGGCATGGGGAGCAGCGAGGTGGTAAATTGGGGAGAGAAGACAAGACGTACTGATTGGCTGCAGTTTAGATGTGGAGACTTGGTCTCACTATAAATTACTTTTGAATCAGAAAATAGAACCTGGGTCCAGGATTTAACATACTCAACTACATTTCTTAGCCCCACTGCTAGCAGTATTCTAGAGCAGACAAAAGTGCTTACATTGGGTGTGAAGAGAAATTCAATTCCCTTGGTGGCCCCCTTCAGTGTTAGGCCACGGATAAGGAAGATGGTCAAGACAATATAAGGAAGAGTTGATGTGATGTACACAGCCTGAAACGGAAGTGACATTGTATTTTAAAATGTGTGAAAATAGAACCAAAATACTTTATCACAAGGAGCTCCGTTCCATCTCTGAAATCTATGACCTTTTGATTCTTGATTGAAAATAATTTATCTAATAAGAATGAAAGTACAGTTGCCAAGTTTTGCCAAGTTTAGCTCTGAAATATATCTTGCATCCATTCCCTTCTCTCCACTCACACACCCACCACTTTAGTTCAGACCCTTATCATCTCTCCCCTGGACTATTGTAAAAAGCCTCTTAATTGGCCTCCCCACTTTGATTCTCTTTCTTCTCCAAATCATTTCCCTTCAGCAGTCAAAATCATATCCCTAAAGCAAGGTCTACTCAGGTCTCTATCCCATTCAAAAAGCTCCAGTGGCCCTCTATTACCTTTAGGGTAAAATACAAGCTACTTGATTATTTAAATCCCTTCACAGTCTGCTTCTAGATAGAAAGTAACCTGGAAACAATGAACTTGAACTTGGACAGACTTCAAGTGATAGTGGAGGATAGAAGGGACTGGCGTGCTCTGGTCCATGGGGTCACGAAGAGTCGGACACAACTGAAAAACTGAACAACAACTAGTTTTTCCTGGTTATTGCACATTAATATCCTTCACACACTCTTCAGTTTAGCCAGATTGTCCTGCTTAGGGTTTCCTGCATATGACATTCCATTTCCTGTCTCCATCGCTTTGCTTAGGCTGTGTCCTTGCCTGGAATGCCCTCCCTTCCTCCTTACATCTCTCTTAAAGGATCCCTGGGTTCCCTCAAAGCTCAGCTTGAGTGCCATATTCTTTCCTGAAGCCTAACTCCAAAACCACAGTTTTTGGTATTCTCCCCTTTTACTCTGTATTTATTTGGCATATTGTTTGTATTTATGGGTCCGTGTTGTTTCCTCTCCTTACCTTCCTCTCCTTACCTGATATCCCCATTGTGCCTGGTACATAATAGATACTTGAGAAATACTCTTTATATGACTTAATGAAGGAATGAACACAAACTTGGAGTGGCTTAGCAGCAGTTATTTTGGGGAGGTTGGTTTTTTTTAAAAAAGTGTCATTTCTCAGCAGCATTCACCAGAATGGAATTAATTCCCTCTACCCTTATTCTGGGTAGCAAAGCAAATATAAGTTAGATGACCAGATGTCTGGATGGGCCAGGGGCATGCAAATTTTTTTTTATGTCCTTCTCTGGATGGACATGTGTCTGGGAAAAACTGGCAACTTGCAAAGGCACTTGAATTACTGACAAATAGCTTAATCCTGTGAAGTATTTTGTAAATTACTGCAGAGAAATGAAAAGGGCTAGTTATGGGACTTGGATCAAGGAACTATTTCTATGTAGGGAAGGGAACAAGAGTTTATTAAACACCTACTATGTGCCAGGCATTGTGCTAAGCACTTTACAAATATTATCTCATTTGATCCTAACAACCCTGTGAGGTGCTATTATTATCGCCATTTTACAGATAAGGAAACCCTCAGTTTCCTCTGAACAGAGGTTAAGTGACTTGCCTCCAGTCATACAGCTAGTAAGTGTCTGAGGCTGGATTTGAATTCAGATCTTGACTCTGGGCCCAGAGCTCTATCCACTGCACATTCTCTAGCCCTATTAATCTGTCTTCACCATAGACCAGGGTTCTACATAGATCCTTTCTCTTGAGACAGGGCAGGAAGTGAATAGGACACAGACTTGAAGTCAAGGTGATCTTAATTAAAGTCCTACCACCCCCACCCCTCACCTCCCACTAACTGGCTGTGTGATTCTGGGCAAGTCACAGTATTTCTCAGGCTCGGTTTCTTTATCTATAAAATGAGGGTAATAATGACAATGACATCATAGGGTTGTTGTATAGGTCAAATGAGATAATATAATGTAAAGTATTTTGTAGAACTTAAAGTATTATATAAGTATTCACTGCTAGTAGTAGTAGTAGGAGCAGGAGGAGGAGTGGGAGTAGTAGTATTCCCCATTAAGTCTAGATTAACCAGGATTCTGTGTTGATCATTGCTCTAGAGGGAACGTGGAGTAGTGGGTAGGGTACCCGACTAAGAGTCAGGAAGACTTGAGTGCAGATACCACATCAGGCACTTACTAGCTGTGTGAACATAAGCAAGTCACTTGGACTCTCTGTGCCTCAGTGTCTCCATCTATAAAATGAATCTATTGGACTCATTGTCCTGTTATAGGCAGCAAGGCAGCACAGTGGATAGAGTGCTAGACTACGTCAGGAAGATCTGAATTCAAATCCTCCCTCAATCACTTATTACCTATAGGGCCCTGGACCAGTCACTTAACCTATTTGCCTCAGTTTTCTCAACTGTAAAATGAGGATAATAATAACTCCTACTTCCCGGAGTGTTGTGAGAATAAAATGGATAATATTTGTCAAATGCTTTACCAACCTTAAAGCACTATATAAATGCTAGTTATCATCATCATTATCGCCCAAGGTTCCTTTCTACTTCCTATCTATGATCCCATGATCTTTCCCTAGCTTAGAGGCTGAAGTTTTAAAAGAAGTCATACTTACTCCTTCCACCTTTTCCTTTCTCTCCCCCTAACCTGGCCATCACACCAATGACTTTAAATCTGATACCTTTCCAGTTGTTTCAATGCCCCTGATGGTGCACACATAAAGGACACTCCAAGCACACGTCAAACATAGCAAGATCCACCACTGAATATATCCTGAGTCATTGATGCTCGTAGAAATATTTAAAGTTTCTCGATACCAAAAATAATCCACCGAAGAACTCCTGGCACATTCCTCTACATAACCTGAAGTGGAAACAAAACAATGTTTAGTAAATTTTCTTATATTGGCTCTGCAGTGAGTGAATTAATTGGGAGTTAATAATAATATTGGTAGCTTTTCTGTTTGAAAGAAGCTGCTGGTCTGTCATCCAAGACTTAGAAGAGCTCCTGGGAACTGGTGTCCTGGAAGACTCTTCGGTCAAAAAAAAAGAGATCTAGGGGCAGCTAGGTGGCACAATGGATAAAGCATGAGTCAGGAGGACCTGAGTTCAAATCCAACCTCAGACACTTTCTAGCTGTGCAAATCTGATCAAGTCACTTAACTCTGATTGCCTCCTAGCCCATCCAGCCAAAAGAAGAAAGATCTAAAGGCAAAGTGAGATGCAGATCCGGTTTTTTCACCTCCGTTTTCACTGCTGTTCAGACCTTTCAGTGAACACAGAAGGGAGCAAACCACTTTAGACTGAACAGAAAGGCTGTAAGTCAATTTATCTACACTGGAGACTTGCTATGAGATGACTTTTTAATAGGGGTAATAAATCCCTTCAAATAGGATGCAAGACAAGGATCTCATGCTGAATTCTGTACTGAGTTGGGTCTGGGGAGTGAAGCCTTGGGGTGTGATCATGAAGGATAATTTCAAAACCATTTAAAGGAGCTAAAGTTCTCCAGAAAATGCCACACTCTTGTAAACTACTTGATGAACAGGGCTTCGGCTAGAAGCTTTGAATACGCAAGTACTACTCTGATGTAGATTGAAATAAAGAGATGTTCTGTACTTAGGAAGGAGGTGGATGCTTCCTCTCTTTGAAATTCTATGGGTCAGGGACTGGCTCAGTTAATTTGCTTTGCGCATATCTAACACAGCACCAAGCACACATCACTTCAAGTAACTATTTTTGAGGATAGTATGTAGCACAACCACAAACCTTTCATATTTGCTCTTAAACTAAGATCATCCAGTTCAATAATCCAACAATCATTTGTTAGGTGCCTACTATGTGTCAGACACTGCTAGGTGCAGGGAAAACAGTCCCTGTCCCCAGGGAACTTATAATCTCCTCCTCTTAGCCTTAATAACACTTATTTCTAAAGCACTTTTAAGGTTCACAAAATATCTTCATTACAATAATGCTGTGAGGAAGGTAGGGTAAGCATTATTATGCCCATCCTTTCAGAGTTTCTCCAAACTTATTTGGCCTACTGTTTCCTTTAAAAAAAAATTACTCAGAGCCCCTCTGGAGATCTACTTTCTTTAACCCTTTAATGTTTTTTAATTGGCATCATTTAAAAATTTTTTAAAATGAAGCACCTTAAATTTGATAATTTATTGTAAATTTATGGGGTTTTTCCTGCAGTGAAATTTTGATGATGCAATATTGTGTCATGATTGTATTGTAAACAAGTCCTCACACGCACATATTCCTATTGATGCATGCTGAACTTCCCGACAACGGGAGACATGCTTGCCTGCCAACACTTACTTGTTAAGATCTGCTGGTGGACTTGACCACTGATCAGTTATAACTTTTATTTCATGTGTTTATTTGGAAAATAATGTAATCACTACAACTTTAACTCTGTTACACAATAGATGAAACATGTACGAATGGTTTTTCAAAAATCTCTTCCCTTCTTTTCTCATCCTTCAATCACCCCCTCATTTTTATTCAATGCCCTCCCCAATTGCACCCAAAGCTATTATGGTTCCAGCGCCCCAGCGGGGCTGGCATAACCCACTTTGGAAACCTATGCTTGGATGAACAAACTGAGATTCAATGAGATTAAGCCACTGGCTCAAAGTTATACAGCTCGTAAGTGGTAGAACCAAGCCAAAACTAGCATGCGTAACTACAGTACCAATTTGTCTCATAAAAATCTCATTTCAAGCTGTTATTACATCTGGAAATTTATGGCGGGAGGAAGCAAGGTACAGTGGAAAGGACACTTGATCTAGAATCGGAGTTCCTAAATTTAAATTCTGGCTCTGTGTGATCTTAAGCAAATCAATTCTTTTTCTGGGCCTCAGTTTCCTCAAATGGGGGATTGGATTAGATGACCTTTAAGGTCTTATCTAGCTCTAAAACTATGATCCTGTGACCTTAGACTTTTTCCTCATTAAGATGTGATTTTTTTTTTTAAAGAAAGCACACATACACACACACACACACACACAGAATAGCTACTTCATTTCATGTTGATATTAGGTATACCCTATTTTAAGCGAATCTTAAATTCTAAAACATACACTCATGAAATTGAAAAGTTAAAGACTAATAACAACAACAATAATGATAATGATAATAACTTGCATTTACATACTGCTTTAAGTTTGCAGAATGCTTTGCATGAATTATCTAGTTCTTCACATAAAATGGAAAGTATTTCATTAAAAGACAGACTCAGCAGAAGATTCCTTCAAATACCAAACTCCCATTTTAGCTCCCTCTGCTTGATGCAGTTCAGATACACATTTGGTTTCTACACCAGTTTTCCCATTGTGCAGTTCCATTCATTAAAATGACACACAGTTGCATTCATCATTGAAAACCAAGTTGTGATGGAATAGCCCTAGTTAATACCAAAGGCCCTGGCTATTACCTGTTTTGTTTTGGTTGAGTGGGCAAGTGCTCCAAGGCAAGGGATCTTGGAAAGAGTTGAAGAAATACCACATGACCCAGGCGATGATGGTGTTGTAGTAGAAGCCTACCATAAAGGAGACAAACATGGAGGCAATGCCTAGAGGGAAAGAGGAAAGGTTATTATGATTTACAATGAAATGTATCCACTTTAATTCAAATAAGCAAACATTTACTAGATACTAGCTATGTGTAATGGCACTGTGCCAGGCAAATGAAGGTTATTTACTTAAACCAAGCACATAATCTCCCTTTGACAGTCAAAGCAATGATAAGGTGGTATTTGACCTCTGAGATACTATATGGGAAAAGGTACATAATATACAAGGTATCCCAAAAGTCTTAGTGCAGTTTTAAGCCACTAAAGCCTAAAACCGCATTAAAATTTTTGGGGCACCCTATACATTTCAGATATTTAATAGCTTTTTAAACATATATATGTATATATAAATTTATGTTGTCTTTTGTTTTTACATTACCTAGATTTCTTCCTGTATCCTTTCCTCTCCTCTTTCCCAGAGACCTATCCTTTATTGCAAGGAATTTTTCTAAAGAAAAATCAGTAAAACCAATCATTGCTAGTGTGTCAACAAACATTTAGTTAGTGTCTACTACGTGACAAGCACTGTGCTAAGCACTAGGGATACAAAGAAAGGCAAAAGACAATCTCTCTCTCAAGGAAGTCACAGTATAATAGGGAGACAACATGCAAACAACAATGTACAGACACGCTCTAGACAGGATGAATTAGAAGTCATCAACAAAGGGAAAGCACTTATATTAAGGGGTATTGGGAAAGGCTTTTTGTAGAAAGGAGGATTTTAGCTGAGACTTGAAGGAAGCCAAGAGGCAAAAATGAGGAGTGAGAGCATTCCAGACATAGGGGACAGCCTGAGAAAATGCCCATAGCCTAGAGATGAAGTGGCACATGGGAGGAATAGCAAAGAGGTCAGTATCACTGGGGTGTGTGTGTGTGTGTGTGTGTGTGTGTGTGTGTGTGTGTGTATAAAGGTAGGAGGCAGCCAGGTCATCACATTGAAAAAATCTGATTTTTGCAATATTTTACAACAATGGACTCCAACCTCTACAATATTGGGAAGAAGGATTTTCTCATATCTCTTCTGTGGGGTCAACCTTGTTCTATGACAATTTACAATAGGAGTACAAGTCAATTTCTTCTATGGTAAGAAGGATAAGAAAAACCAATTTCCCTAAAACATCGAGAAGGTAGACCTTCATTGCAAAATGAGGATACAATAAAACTACTATTCGAATAAACTTGGAGGTGGGGGAAGGAGGTAGCCAGTATCAAAGATATGAATTAGAGACTAAAAAGGACCAGTTTTGTCATGTTGCATTATGCACAATAGTTCTAATTAGGCTAAAAAGTATTCCATACTTGTAATTCTTAACAAACAGTTTTAAAGAATTCATAATTATAATTTATAATTAGAACATCTAACTATTGATACGTATATATGGGTGCTGCTACAGGACTCTCTTCTCCCAAAGCCCCCAGGCATGAAAAATTGAATCATTTTTAATGCTCTCTTTTCCTTTGCTCCCATAGTCTATTTGTCCCAAAGTGCAGCTAACTCTTCTTTTTAATGTTTCTCACATCCATTCCTTCTTTCACATTCTCATTGCTCTCACTCTAGTTCAGGCTCTCATAACCTCCTACTGACTCGAGTCTCCTGACTGGTCTTCTTGCCCCGCTCCAAATTACCCAGCATATCACTGCCACATCAGTCTTCCTAAAGAGTTGCTCTCAAGGTGGCGCAATGGATAGAGCACCGGCCCTGAAGTCAAGAAGAACTAAGTTCAAATCCGGCCTCAGACCAGACACTTGTCACTTACTAGCTGTGTGACCCTGGGCAAGTCACTTAACCCCAATTGCCTTAAAAAAAAAAAAAAGAGTTGCTCTCATCATATCATTCCCCTGTTCAAATGTCTTCAATTGCTCCTCGTCACCTTTAAGATCAAGAATAAAGTACTACTCCAGCTTCATCTTCTTACTTGGCTCCTTTACAATAACTTATCATTTACTTGTTGTCACCTAACATATCTTCCCCAACCTAACATATATTTCTTTCTTAGAGCTAGTCCACTTTCCTGTAAAGTCCCTCCCCCTCTGTTCTTTGTGCTTAAATTCCATTCATTCTTCTAGGTCTTCTTTTACCACCCTTCGCCACAAAGATCTCACCTTCCTCTGAATTCCATAGCATTGCTTGGACTATACCAGAAGTGTCAAACTCAAATAGAAATAGGGCCAGTAAACCATACAGAAGGATCCCTGCAGGCTGCATGTTGACTTACAAAATCACATGTTGACATTATCTATATTTCATTGTGTTTTTATTTATTTTGTTAAGTATTTCTCAGTAACATTTTAATCTGGTTTGAGCTGCAACTGGTGAGTGTTGAGGGCCAGGATGTGTGTTTGACACCTTTGGTTTAGACTATCTTTTGGGTACCTATCATACATTCTCTTACATTGTTATTTATCTTTTCACATCAGAACCTCATATGAAAAAATGGTCATGTAAATGTTCTGAAAAAGATAAAATACTTTACAATTAATATTATTATTATTATTAATTGTTGTTATTACAATGCTACTAACTACAGTGGTGAAACTGAGTATGTGTAACTATGGCAGCTTCAATTCAATTCAGATATTTATGAAGCACAAGTAGGGGGAAGGCACTGTACTTGTTGCTGGGCATATGAAGAGCAAAACAAAATTTTCCCTGTCTTCAGGAAGCTTCCATTCTTTGGCTTCTGGGATTACTACCTCAATTCAACAAATACAAAAGGGAATTCATCATCTTTTCCCTAGAGCTGCCTGTCCTTTCAACTTTCCTATTCCTAGTGATGTAATCCATCATCATCATCATCATCATCATCTCAGTTACTCTGACTCAAAACTTTGAAGTCATCTTTGATTCTTCTCTCTTTCTCCACCCTCTAACCCCAACACCTATCAAATCTCTTGCTAAGTCTTATTGAATGTATCTACACAATCTATTTCGCTTTCCTTCCCTTATTATCAGTCACCTTATCATCATCTTAATTAATGCTTGTATCACTTCTAAACTGGGCTATTAATACACCCTCCTAACTGGATTCCCTGCCCCCAGTTTCTCCCTTCTCCAATTCATTCTTCACTCAGTTGGCAAAATTTTCCTAAGGCATGACCATGTCATTCAAACATCTTCAGTGCCTTCCCGTTGCCTTTAAGATAGACTATAAACTTCTGAATCAACCAATCAATCAGCCAAAAAGCATTTGTAAGAAGTGTAGTAGATAGAGTACTGGGCCTAGAGTCAGGAGGACTCCTCTTTGTGAGTTCAAATCTGGCCTCAGATACTTACTAGCTGTGTGACCCCAGGCAAGTCACTTAACCCTGTTTGCCTCAGTTTTCTCATCTACAAAATGAGCTGGAGAAGGAATGGCAAACTGCCCCAATACATTTGTCAAGAAAACCCCAAACAGGGTCACGAAGAGTAGGACATGGCTGAAAAAAAAAAAAGACTCAACAACAACAATGTACTTAGTGCTAAGCCCTGGGGTTACAGAGAAAGGCAAAAACAGTTACTGCTTTCACTGAATTTACACTTTATTGAAGGAGAAAACATATAAATAAGAACCTGAATGATCCATACAGAGTATATGGAAACTAACTTTAGAAGGAAAGGTACTAGCATCCTACAGAAGTTGCCATTTATGTTGATCCTTGAAGGAAGCTAGGGATTCTAAGAGGTGGAAGTAAAGAAGGAGAACTCTCCAGGAATGGTGGATAACCAATACAAAGAGATAGAGAGAAGAGATGCAGTGTCATATGGGAGGAAGAGACAGAAGACCAATGATGCAAATATGTTTTGGAAACAGGATTTAAACCCGCAGTTCTCATGATTCCATGTCCAGAATTCGTTCTATTCCACCAAACTGTCTTTCTAAATGCTTCATCTTGGAATCATTGGTATCATGATCCTGGCTGAATTCATAGGAGATAATGAGATCACCAAGCAAGATAGTATAGAGGTAAAAGAAGCAAGGGCCCAAGACAAGACCTTGGTCTACATCCACAGTTAATGGCAATTACATAGACAATTATCTAGCAAAGAAGGATGAGATGAAGCAGTCAGGAAGAGAATCATCAGAAAGCAGGGTCTTGAAAACCCAGAGAGGAGATAATATCTAGGAGATGATCAATAGTAGCAAATGCTACAGAGAGATCAAGAAGGAGGTGGCAAAAAAAAAAAAGGCCATTTGGCAATTAAGGGACCACTGGTAACTTTGGAAAGAACAGTTTCAATTGAATGAGAAGGTCAAAAGCCAGACTGAACAAAGTTTAGAAGGGAGAAGAGAAGGAAATGGAGACATTTAGTATAGACAACTTTTTCAAGGAGGTTAACTGAGAAAGGTGGGAGATGTATATAGCAGAGATGGTAGGATCAAGTGGGGGTTTTTTACAGATGGTGAAGACATGACCATGTTTTAGGCAACAGAGAATGACCCAGTTGATAGCAAGACATTGAAGATTAGAAAGAGAGGGAGGATGATGGCGGGGGGTGGGGAGGCGGGAATCTACTAGCAGAGATAGGAGGAGATGGAATCAAAGGTGCCCGTTATACCTAGGTCTTGGCGAGGAGGAGGGTGAACACTTCAACAGAGAGTAGAGAATGATGTCAGAAGGATGAAGGTCACAACAAGAACAGAAAAGCCTGGCATTTGGGGGTGTCCATGATTTAGCTCCACAGAACCTGCCTTGCCTTTCCCCACATGATTTCCCTTCAAGAACTTTACATTCCATTCAGCTTGTCCCCAGACTTAACATAGTCCTCTGTACATTCATGCAGGCCACCCTTAGGTCACCTTGTCCTCATCTATGACTTTTAGAATCTTTCTCTTCTCTCAAGGCTCAGCAGTCTCCTCCATGGTGAAGCCTTTCCCCACACCCCTTATCCTCAGAGTAAAAATATTCTCATCTTCAAATCTCCCCAGAACATTTTATCTGACTTTCTTCTTCCTCCTTATCTCAGTCTACATTGTACCATCCTTTATCTGTGCACATGTACTATCTCCTATCTCTCCCTTCCTACCCTCCTCCCAAACCCTCACCAGTAGTATAAGCTCCCTGAGGGGGCTGGGTATTACGTTCTCAGCAGTAAGCATAGTGCTGTGCACTCAGAAGATTCTTAGTAAAGTTGAATCTTGAATCAGAGCTTAGGCCATCCTGCTGCTGAGACAGGGTCTATGTATGAGAAACAAATGCCTCTAGCTGGAGCAATGAAACACTGTTTTTTCTTCAAAGTTTTAATCAAAAACTGCCTCTGCAATGGATGGGCATGTCTATTTTTTTTCCTATTGAATGCCACTGTTGGGCACATGCTTTGTATTCTGGGGAATTGATGATCCATTCTGTTAACGAAGGGGACAATGAATTCTTGCACAGGTTTTATAACTTTTTAAATCTTAATGGAAAACTCAGCAAACGTGGAGGCCAAAATTAGACTCCCTGAAACAGTTCAAGACAGGGCTAGATGCCTGTCAGGAACATTTTGAAGGGGATTCCTGTACCATGCAAGGCACTGGGCCAGACGACCTCTAAGGTAATCCCCAAGATATGTATTAAATATCTACTGTGGGCAAGGTGTTCTTGATTACTGGGTCATCAGTACCACCAGATACCTGGCAAGGGCAGCATAGTACAAATAAGTTGTTTGGGTTGATTTTTGACATCCCAAGTAAAAGCAAACTCACTTACACAGTCACCCTGAAGAGCACCTAAAATTGGTACTTCTAATCAAAGCATAAAGCATTTTGCACAATCTAAGAAATGCAGGTGTGTAAGACTGAATGAATATAATGATCAGATTCTGCTTTGGGACAGCATAATGGAAACAAAAGCTGTAGGATCAAAGTTTGCTTCATGGCTACATTCCCCCTTTTGTTGACCCATTAAGGCCATTTTAAGTTCGAATGACTTACCAACTCCCTTAAGGGCAGGATGGATAGAGGTCCAGACACCAACACTGCCCTTCCTTAGCCTTTGTCCAATGGCGAACTCCAGAAAAAGCAAGGGGATACCCTCCAGGACCAGCAGAATGAGGAATGGGATCATGAAAGCTCCTGTAATTGAAAAAGAAGCCAGATGAGTATTTCTGATGCTAGAAAAACAGTATGAAAAAGATACCTGGATTGGGGTCTGGAGATTCTTTGTAAGCCACTTCTTTAAGCATTTCCAGTAAATACTAACTTTAGAAAGGAGCCACACTATAGCAACAAGAAATAAAATATGTTATAAAGCATCAAGGATCATAGGATCACAGACCAGAGTGAAAAGGGACCTCCGAGGCCATGGAGCCCATGAAGTTTTGTTATACAAATGAGGAAATTGAAGCCCAGGGAGGTTATGTAATTTGTCAGGGGCAAGATATCAGCAGCCAGGTCCTCCAGCTTCAGGGAAAATGTGCTTTTTGCCATATCATGATGCTGTTTAGTCAAACAATCAACAAGTATTTATTGATTACTTAAAGTTATCCCTTCCACATTGCAACTTTCCCCATCATGGTTTTGATATATTGCAGGACAGCATGAGAAATTAAATGGGAATTTTGGGGGAGTTTTGCAGAAGCTGAAGATGACACATGGAGACCAGTAGGTGACACCAAAAAAAGTTTAGAAATTCAGAAATGCATAAAATACTTGTATAGTATTGTAGAATATCAACATATTTTAGCTTTTAATACCATAAATACACACAATTTCTTTTTTAAGTTGAAATAAGTAAAAAACTAAAGTGTGTGAAAAGAACTTGAAAGTCAACAGACAACACACAAAAGCCACTACATTTCATGTGGATTTTCCATATGGGGGGCAGCCCTCACCACACTCTTCATCCCACTATATGGAAAGAATAACTTTACTTTGTGTCAAGTGTTACGGATCTACAAAGTAGCATAAAGCATGATCTCTGCCCTCTAGGGGCACAAAATCTAGATGGAAAGATACGATGAAAACACAGAATCACAGATCACGAAACTGGAAAAGACTTCAGAGGCCATGTAGTCTATCTTTGCCCCTCTCTTCCGTTTTTCAGATAAGGAAACTTAAGACCTAGAATGACAAATGACTGGTCTAAAGTCATACAGGCAGTGGGTGTAAAGGTAGGATTTGAACCTGGGTCTTCAAGCTTAGAGCCAGCACTCATTCTCCTAAACCACATTGCCTCCCTTCTAAAATAACATGAAGAGTAACATCAGAGTTAAATGAAATGATGTCAATACAAGAGATATCCCTGGGTGGATCCGTTGTTTGACAGGTATAAACAATGAGTGCTATTATAAGCTCAAAGATTAAATAACAAAAAAACAGCTATTTTAATCTGGAAAGGCTTTATAAAGATGCTGAGATTTGAGTTGGGCCCTAAAAGATATACTGTTATTTGAAAAGGTGGAAAATTACTTTAAAATGTTTCCCAAAGCAATACAATTTGCTCTTTTCCTTTTAAACTCTGGGCCCTGCTCATTGTCCATCTTTATTGTCTGTCACAGATATACATGTGGTTGAAATCTGAATGAAATCTGAAAAATGGATGGTTCTTCATCCATTTGGTCTTTCCTGTGTGGATGGATGGGTCAAACTCCTTTGAGTGACTGATTATTGATATCTTCCAGGAAGCTCTGCAATGTCTTGGGGCTTGATTCAATCCATACAATGTCATGAAAAACCATAGCACCTGGAGGACTCACCATCCACAGGGAATCTGTCCTCACTTTGGATTAGGCACTGGGTTTCTTCCATCACAGTGGCAAATATTTCTGGCAAGCATACATCTCCCTGTTCTGTACACTACTTGATGCTTATTGTCAGAGCCATTGAACAGGATTATTTCTGATCTCTAAATCATATGGCAGAGTTTCCTGTAGGCAGCTAACTCTATCAATGATATATGGATGGTTGTTAGAAAATGTATTGACAGGGGCAGCTAGGTGGCACAGTGGATAGAGCACTGGCCCTGGATTCAGGAGGACCTGAGTTCAAATCCGGTCTCAGACACATAACACTTACTAGCTGTGTGACCCTGGGCAAGTCACTTAACCCCATTGCCTAGCCAAAAAAAAAAATGTATTGATAAGAGCCACCATGATCCCCTAAACTAATTAGCTGTGCTATGTAATAGTCTTTGAGTTTTTTTTTTAATCCCAAGCAGAAATAAACAGTATGCTTTTACACTTAGATTTATACCGCTCTCATGGCTTCTCTACATTGACTTTGAAGCCAATTTCAACAAAGAAATTGAAAAAAATCAAGAATATATTTACTAGTTCATTCATTTAGTAGACATTTATTAATTTGGCTGAACTTCTAAAATATGAAACGAGTATGCCTCCCTATGTCAGAGGGAAATTATGCCTCAGTTATGATCTGGCAAAGGTTAGAATGTTAATATTTAGCAAATGTTTCTAAAACCTTGTCAGCTGTATGTGAGTATCATGAGGACCATATCAGGATTAAAGTTCAGTCATTCCCTGGAGCAACAGAGTGATAAACGTTTCCAAATACATAACTTAAATGGTTTTCTGTGGACTCAAGCATTAGGACTGGTCCTAATCTTTGATGAGGAAACTACAAGGCTTTGCTTTGCTTGTTTATTCACACACCACTGATTTTAGATAACTGTTTGGCAGGGAATTTTTTTCTTCATATCACCATATTTGATTGAAAGGTTTGAGATGAACTACAAAGGTGGCAAATGATGGCTATACCTTTTCCCTTACCGTTATAAATCATTCAAAGAGGTTGTTGAGGGGTCTGGCACATATATAGTGCCTGTGACAATATCTCTCTACATGGAGAAGCTGAGGAGCTTACTTCCAGGAGAGTCATAATGATCACAAGTAAAGGGAGGCGTCAGAGAGACTTTATAGGCATCCTATAGAACTGGTCCTAGTCTGTTTATAGAAGGCTCTTTGGTTGACTATTAAGATAGTCAAAAGCCTTTATCTATCTTCTATCATTTATCCAGTGAGAGACTATAATGGAAGAGGCCCTGAGGTTTTCTTCGCTCTGAAGACATACAACCCTAAGAAATATCTTACTCTTTGGCTTCTACATTTATTGTTCTCCATTCTCTGGTGATGAGAGTAAAATCTGACCTTAATAGGTTTGAAAAGTTAGGAGAGAGGCCCAAAGGAATCTAGGAGTTGAAGATCAGGCCAAGTTGTATAGCCAGACCAACAATGATTCCCAAAAAGTACGAAGTGACCTTACGGACCTACACCAGTGGAAGCTGAGATAAGGATTCATTCACCAGTCATGCCACATCAGAGCATGAATTGGTGGAACCAATGTGATGTAGAAAGTAAACTGAGTGCCGAGTCTTCTCTCCCCCATAGGTTGTGTGGTTTGTCCTTTGTTCTTGAGGAGGACCATGACATCAGGAAGATGATGCCATGACTTGAAGTCAATTGGATTTAAGTAAAGGAGGGCTGTGCAGAGTTACCAGTCTCACTTTCTCCTCCGGAGCCATCTGGGTCCAGTGGCCAGATATAGATCAGGACAGCTGAAGATGGCCCAGGACAGAGGAGAATATGCACCTGAGGCATTGGAAAAAGAAAAGTTTGTACATTTGTTTTTGTTATGTCTTTGATATAAATATCTCTTTGCAAAAGCTAATTAATATTAGTTGTTTAAATGGAACTGATATGCTAGTCACTGATACTTAACTGTTGGGGGGAACATAGCCATTAGGAGCTCAAATTAATGGTAGTAGAGAATTTGTTGTTGAGACATTTTAGTTGTGTCCAACTCTTTGTGACCCCATTTGGGGTTTTCTTGGCAAAAATACTGGAACGGTTTGCCATTTCCTTCTCCAGCTCATTTTTATAGTTGAAGAAACTGAGGCAAATAGGGTTAAGTGACTAGCCTAGGGTCACACAGCTAGTAAGTGCCTGAGGTTTGTATCTTTCTGACTTCAGAGCCAGTGCTCTATCCACCGCACCACCTAGCTGCCCCGACCTTCATATATTCAAAACCACCTCCCATTCTTGTATTAACTGAAATGGCTCCAGAGGACAGAGTGAGGCTGATGACTTTGCACAATCTATCTCACTCAAATCCAATTCACTTGCAAGTCAAGACATCACTCTCCTGATGTCATTGGTCTTCTGCAAGACCGAAGGACGAACAACAAACAACAACAGCAAACAATCCTATATGTACACATCGACGCCCTCAATAGTAAGGTCCTTGGGGATTCTCTCATTTTTTTCTTTGTATTCTGCAGCACCTAGCTCCTGAAACACAGTAGGTATTTAGTAAGAGCTTGTTGAATGATTTTTGTGCCATGAGTTGAGGTCAGAATGGATAGGACGAATAGTGTTCAAAATAGACTGCCTTTGAGATGTCACACAGTGATTTTGGTGGTTATGAACTGTTCCCTGGTGTCAGTTTTTCAACAGAAATGGTCTCCCAGTGATGATTCATGGTTGGAAATCTAAGACCAACACAATCTTTGGGGAATTAAAATTGTGGGAATCTGTGGGAATTAATTCCCCTTGAGGGAACTAAAACTGCAGTTTTAATTGTGTGTGATGGGGGTAAGCATATTTCTAATGATGAGCTATACTCAACAATGGTTTTAGGATATCACTGAGCAAATGTGAGATTAAGGAACAACACAGATTGATAGAATGATCCCAAGTAGTCTATTATATCTTCAAAAGTATAAAAACACTTAGAAGACCTCTTCTTCTAAGGCTACTTTGCGGAGGAACTCTATGTAACCCCAACTGGACAGGACCGTTCCCTCATGAAGACTCTTGTGATGCTGAAAGCTGCATGAGATATGACTCCTATGTGGCTGAGAGACCTCTGAACTTCTGGTACTGTGCAAGTATGGATAGACTTTAGGGAAGGAAGGGAGAGAGTAAAGTTCGAGAGAGACGATCTATGAGAGAAGGCCAAAAACAGGAAAGACTAAGAGGAGTACTGGAACCACAGGCCTGTGAGGGAATTTGTCTCCTCAGACAAACTGATTACCAAGGCCTGCTGAAAGCTCTCTTCACTAACTAGATCATTTCTCTTCTTGGTTGATCTGAAGTTGTATCTTACTCCTAAGCTAAAGA